ATTTTTGTTCTAGTTTTGATTTCATCGAGCTGAAGAGAAAGAGGATAAAAGCAAAGTAAGGCCGTAAGCTCAACACACAGTTGCCTACCTGAGTCTCATGATCCAGAGTTTTGCTGATATCCACCTCTGTGAGCCAAATAGGAAGCCCCAAGGTTGCCAATTTGTCCAAAATACTCCTCATCAATGGCACATTAGGCCTCGTAAAGTGGGCTTCGAGGCCGATTCCGTCCATCACATAACCGCCATCCATAAGCTCCCTGAGCCTCGAGACATACACGTCAACAGTCGAATTCTCATCACCACAAGTCTCAACCACATTGAAATCATTCATAAATAGCGTGGCCCAAGGGTCTGACCTCTTAGCCGTCTCAAAGAAGTAGGCGGTGGCGTTCGGGCCAAGCCTACTCTCATAGAAATCAAAATGTAACATCTCATTGCTCACATCCCAATGCACGAACTCTCCCTTGTACCTCGACATGAGGCTTTGAATACGTGAATTAACAGCTTGAAGAAGGGCATTTCCACTAAGGTTACGAACCCAAGAAGGGGTGTATACAGGGTCCTCCCAAAATATGTTGTGGCCCCTAATTGTAGGGATCCCTCTTGATCTCACCAGACGAAGTAGCTGGTCGGGTAGGCTATAGTTGAGCTTGCCTGGTTCAGGCTCCGTTGCATACCACTTCAGCTCGTTCTCAAAGACTGCAGCATTGAATCGCTCTGCAAACCAATCTTCATATGGTTGGTTCCCAAGGATGGTTTTGGCAATGGCAGAGCCAAAAGGAAAGGCTTTAGATTTTTGTTCAATTGTGACTATAGCTCCTTGTAGTCTTCGTCCCATTGCATCTGAGATGTGTACGGCCACTCTGCGTTGCCTTTTCTGTTTAAAAGAGGAGGGGGACATGAATGAAGAACAAGAATATTGAAGAAATACCTAATTGATGAATTTTCAAGCTTTTCGGACATAACCATTAAGAGGTGAAGAAAACTATTTACAGATCTAATGTTGTCCTCTTGATGCATTCTCCATTGCTCATCTGTGAAAGGTTGAAGAGAAGCACTGGCAATAGATATCTCAATGTCTCTCTGTTGGGAGTCCTGTGCATAGAAATGAAAATTAATGGAATATCTTTGTTATGAATACAAATAGTGGAAGCCAGTGTAATTTTTTTTACTTGTAGAAACAAGACGGAATTCGACTCAGTGGCTACAAATCCGCCTTTGAGAAAAGACCAGCACCCACTTTGGGCTGATACAGTTCCTACACATTTGTCTGTCGAGTTGTCTGTTAATAACCTCGCCATTACTCGAGCAGTACCAGCCCCTTTGATTCTTACCCAACCTACAAAACCTCTTAGTTTAACTGGTATTCAAAGGATCATATTAGATAAATAAATTTTCTACCTTGCACCTTTCTAATTGAGTTTTCAAAATTCTTTTGTAATTTTTCTAAATTGAAATGTTCTTATGTTATAATAATAGAAGTGTGGCAAAAAAAAAAAACAGAAGAAATTGTTCATAGTCATATAGATTTTAAGATAAGAATATCTAAACAGTTGTTGTTATTGAGCTGTAGAAGTCATAGCATATTATTGTACATATCGCACTTCTGTTTTTTAGGTAGTTCAATGATAGGAATCCAACTTGAGATGTAGTGCTGTTAAACATCAGCTACTAACCACTCAAGCCCAAGCCTGATTCCTATATTAATGGCACTTCATTACTTACAAAATGACACATCCTTTATGTAAGCATGTTCCCCTGGTTTGCCGAGGGGTGGTCTTCATAGGCGCCATGGTTTTACGATATTTGGCAAAGCCGAAATTCAGAACCCCGACAAAGAATGCAGTTTCAGCTTTAGAAACCCTTGGGATGGCTTGCCAATATATTTCTATCCCTGACTAAAGAATTTGAAATTAAATGAAGAGCTAGCAGCCACGTGGATGTGCTTGAAATGAAGGATTTAAAAAATGTACAACAAGATAAACTATTTTTTATGCTTGAAATCAATTTCATTTTAAATCCATAATAATCAAGATTGAGATAATCGATCTACAAGTTTTCCGCTCCAACCAAACTTTATGTTGAGACATGAGATGTGGCTTTATAAAGCCCTGGCCCTACAAAATACTTTCCATTACCCAAAAGCCATGACATATTTTTTACACTTGCAAAATGCCCTCCTTAACTTTATAACGTACTCATGTTTGGCTTTATAATGTACTTCTATTATAGACTTTGACGAATGATATTGACAGGGAAATAGCTTCTAAGTTTTTTTGGATGTTTGCAACTGGTAAAACAATTGCCGTGAACAAAGAGTTTATGTAAGGTTGCAGCATTAAGCTGTAGAATTAATATGCACCTCAAAAATCCATGGACACAAGGCTGTTTCGATGTTGGAAAATTATCTAATTGATCGTCTCGACGTCGAGATATATATCTACTTGATTTGAGCCATTTTTGGAGTTTAAAAAAATTTATAATTCTGAGTGAAAACAGGTTTTTAGGTCATCCAAGATTTTTTACACAAAAATTATATCTTATAATAAAACTTGAGGTGCGCCTACTTAGATTGTTTAAGGTTGCAACTTTATGCAAAACCCTAAATTAAACACCTTTGATTAAATTTTTCAACTAAATATGCTTAAAACCCTTTCATGTATACCACTTTTGTCTTTTATACTCTTCGTCAAAGAGCGTGCCCATGAAATCTAGGGCAGGCAATGGGACTGGTCGGGGACCAGACCCGAAAATATATCATAGGACGTGGACCCGGACCCGAACCCAAATTGATTATGGGGATCCATATCCGATTTAAAAATTAATTTTTACATTTTTTCAAAAAATATATCATTATCGTCATTAAACCCTTTTCTCAACTCCTTAAAATCGGCTATGCAAATCCTAATCCATCGTTCTGCTGCATTAAAAAATAAAGGGAAAGACTGCTTGGACCCAAACCCGGACTCGGACTCGGACCCTAAGCGACCACCTAGGCCTGGACCCAAATCAGGTCTAGGCTATTGGATCTAGACCCGACCCGTCAAGTCCAACTCCCGTCTGGTCTCGAGTCCTAATTAGCACTGCCTAGTAAGAAAAAGTTGTCCCACGTAAGCGTGAGGAAATACCCAGAACAAGTGTGTTCCATGTGTTATATTTGTGAGATAGTTCGAGTGTTTCATTAATTCCTTAATTATTTGTTTAAATTCTAAGGAGCATGGTTTTATGATATTAAGTACCATGGGAGCAAGGTTTGAATTCAAAATCCAACTTATTTTTCTAGGAGGGGTCTCTTTTGGAGAGTTTCTTAGAAAATAAAACTATTGTCATGTTAATCAATCCTCACAACATCGATAATGTCTTCTGTGTCCTTGTACCCTCTTGTGTCTAATTTCTTGGGGCATTTCATGTGGTGATGCCAAATTCTCACCTACACTTTCGCTACTTCCACTCACGACATTTAGGATTGGGTTAATACTGTGACCTCTGTGTTTTTTTGTTAGGACAGTAGTTCGCTTCTTGTAACGTATTTGATCAATGCATCATTGTTCGGGTAAGCAAAACTATTGTCCATGGCATTCTTATAAAACTAATGGTATCTCATTGTATGCAATCCCATTATTAGGGAAAGTATAGGATGAGACCGTTTACTTTTGGTACATGATGGTCACATTAATCTTGATCATTGGATGTGAAATTTGATGGCTGCAATTATTCCATTGACCAAGCTCAAACTTCAAAAGAAATTTTTTTACACTTTGTGACACATCCAAACTGCTAAATTTCACATCGGATGGTTGTAAGTAATTGTGACAATGAAAGGTAAATGGTCTCACTGTATATACTCCCATTTTATTAGAAAAAAAAAAGTTTATATAAGGTGCCAACCTTATATTGTTGAAGTAAGGCGCACCTCAAAAAACATCCGGAACATATTGTTCTGAAGCGCAAAACCCTCCAATTGGACATCTTGACCTCGAGAAGTATGGTGGGTCATGAAAAAAAAAAAGTTGATTTCAAGTCTTGAAAATAGTGCATCTTGTAGTGCATTATCTAGACCATCCATTTTCAAGATTTTTAAATTTTTATAGCTCTTCTCGATATGCACTATTTTTAGAGCATTAAATTTCACAATAAAAGACAAAAACTATTTTTTAGGCTATCACAAACTTTTTTGCATTAAAAGTACATATTAAAGTATAATTAAGAGACGTACCTTACATGGACTGTTTAAGGTTAATGTCTTATACAAACCACATCTTTTTTAAAGAAATAAAATTATCAATAAAATACATTATAAGAAAGGGTGCGGATTGAGAGTCGAGGTTCTAAATAATCAAAAGGAAAGCACACCTTAAAATAATGTCGAGAAATGTAGTTTTAATACTGGAAATCTTTGTGATAGCCTTAAAATATGTTTTCATCTTTAATTATAAAATTTAAAGCTTCGAAAATAGTATAGATCAAGTAGATCTATAAAAACTTGAAAATCTTTAAAATTGATGGTTCAAAAAGACCTTACACAAGGTGCACTATTTCCAAATCTTGAAATCCATGTTTTTTCCATGTCCATGCATTTGTCGAGATAATCAATTTGAAGATATTTGGTTATCAAAAACAACCTCTTCTAATGAAATTTTGAGGTAGGCTCTAATTTGATTGTTTAGAACAGCTTTATATAAACTATTTCCTCTAATAAATGATTTAGTATTTTCCGTCAATGTTTCACAAATGGTATCAATTGGCCATATTAACCCGTTGATTGAAAATCACCTGTCCCACTCGTAATCAGCCGAGTCAAACTAGAATTCAGAACTAGGAGGGTGACAATTTAACATTGCCCGGCCCGGCCAAGCCGAGCCCTTTTATTTATATATATATTTTAACTTAGCTCTACCCTACCCTGACAGTACCAGGGGAAGGCCCGGGACAAGACCTCTTTGGCCCGGTCAAAGCCAGCCCTAAGAGAACAGGTCCAAAGTAGGCCCAAGCAGCCTCAGGCAAAAGGAACATTCGTCATACTTCCAAGGCTGCTTTAAACATCGATTACCAAACCATTGAAACAAACGCACCCCATTTTCCAAGGAAATTGTTATATTGATTTTTTCTAAAAGATCTGAAAAAGAAATAATAATAATAATAATAATTTAAAAAAACTATCTATTTGAATTTCATAACTCACAAGAGAAAGTATACTTGGCCCCTTTGGTGAGGTTCCTTAAAACGTATGCGGGTGAATAGACCTGCGTCCCCGGATGTTTAGAGACTTCTTTTGCAAGAATTCCTCCATTGTAGAGGGGTGCCTCCGGGTACAACTTACACTGAAATTCGGGGAAAAAGACAAAAAAAAATAAAGGCAAAAAAATTTAGAGAGCGAATTGTGTCCACATAATGTGTATCTTATTCTTGACTATAAATAGCCGGCACCCTCTATTCATTTATAAGGGTGTGGTTTGTATAAGGTTGAGGCCCGACGAACTTTGAAATAGTGTCGATGTTTCAGTATTAAAAAATTTTACAATTGCTTAAAATTTATTTTCATATCTAATTACAAGGTTTGAAGCTTCAAAAATATTGTAGATCGACAGATCTTTGAATACTTGAAAATATTGAAATTTTAAAGTTTAGAAAAGATGTACTATTTTTAATATTTGAAATCTATTTTGTTTATCATGTTCACACATCTTGAGGTCGAGATGATCGAATTGAGAATTTTTGGATATCAAAACAACCTGAATTTTTGAGGTGCGCATTAATTTGATTGTTTAGGACCTGACCCTTATATAAACTTTTTCCTTTATAGAATGGATGTTGAGATTTATAGAATGGATGTTGAGATGAACATAGTAGAGGGGCGTGTTTGATATCTAGAAGATGAAGATTTGGAATCGTATCTTCCAAAACTGTATCACACCTCTGTTTGATAACATGAAGGTTATACAGTAAAGCGGATGCAGCCAGTTCCCTAGAGAACCATAGAACTTGGGGTATCGACTTCCCTGGAAGACTCCTTAACAGACAGCAGAATCGCCTAGAAGCGTACACATCTTGTGTATGCATTATTTTTCCCTAAAATAATGGGGAAAAGGGAGGGTGATGGACTGGTGAAATGTACCTCTGTGTATGCTGTAGAATCATAGCGAGGCCCATCTCCTATGTCAAAGAGAAACCATGAGACAGATGAAAATACAAACCTCATTTTCATTTGCATTTCAAAGATTTTTTTTGAAAATAAAGAAGGGAATTCACCAATACACTTACCATATTCTCCAAAAGAAAAATTGGTGCACAACCCAAGAAACCCAAAGAGCAGAAGATAGTAGTAACCCTGCATTCTCTCTCTAGTCTAAGAGAGAGAATGCTGATAAATAAGAGAGAAAGTAGAGAGGGAAGGTGAAGAAGAGTGTGAAATGTAGAGAAGGGGAAACCAAGTCACGATAAATAAGAGAGAGTTAGAGAGTAGAGAGAGAGAGAGAGAGAGAGAGAAGAGAAATCACAAGGGGCACAGTGGAATGTATGTCTGTCTGCATCGCCCGTGCAGCTCAGGTCACATGCGGGCATCGTGAGGAATAATGAACCTCATGCACCGCCCCATTACACACGCCATGCATAACAATCATTATTGTGCTCCCATAGGAGCATACTGTGTGTTTGTCCCTTCAAGTTGAGACAACCATTTGCGAGAGATTTTCCCTTTCAACTTTTTTTTAAAAAAGCTGAATTTCAGCTTTCCAAACATTATTCCTACCCCTCTAGAGATTGGATGATATCTATTTAATATTGGGGCATTGTATTTTCTAGGCACAGGTTGAAATTTTACTTTCGTCAAATTAATCGCTCGAGTGAAAGAGTTTTCTATACTTATTACGTTATTAAGCCAGAGTTGAAAACAAAATAAAGAGGGGCCCTATTGTGAGAGAGATGAGGGGGTAAGGAGTCCTAGATTTAGAATATAGTAACCGGAATTATGCCATAGAAAGATAAGATAACCCCAAATCATTGGATTTTCCAAATATATGAAGGTATATTCATTACCCTTAAATAGATTTCTAATATTTGCTTATCTAAATAAGGGATAAGGTATATGTACATGCAAGTCCCACCCATTTCTAAATTTATGTGTGCAACCCACTCATCTCTAAAAATTGGGCGTGTAAGTTCTCCAAAAATAATTTTCCTATAATTTAAACCTCTAAAAATAGGTCCATCATATATTTCAAGGGTACGGATTTTATAGAGCTAAGGATCTAAACAATCAAAGTAAAGCACACCTTCAAATAGTGTCGAGATATATGGTTTCAATACTGAAAATTTGTGTGATTGCCTTAAAATATATTTTTATCTTTATTTATAAAATTTAAAGCTTAAAAAATAGTGTGGATCGAGCAAACCTATGAAAACTTGAAAATCTTGAAAATTGACGGTCCAAAAAATCGTTACAAGATGCACTATTTCCAAAACTTGAAATCCATTTTTTTCTCATGTCCATGCATCTTGATGTCGAGATAATGAATTTGAGGATATTTGGGCATTAAAATAACCTCTAGTAGTAAAATTTTAGAGGTGGGCTCTACTTTGTTTGCTTAGAGCCATCAACTCTATATAATTTTTTTTTCATATTTTAAACCTCTAAAGATGAGTCCATCCTTTTCTAAAATTTGAGCGTATTTCCCAGCCTCAAATTTCTGGGTGCAAGTCCTACCATCCCTAAAATTTGGACGTGCAAGTTCTCCTTAAAAATATTTCCTTTATGCTTTAAACTTCCCAAAATAAATCCCACCCTTGCATAAAATTTAGGCGTGCAGTCCACCCCCAAAAAATTTCCGTATCTTTCTAAGTCTCCTAAGACCTAGATATTGCCAATTTTTTGGATCTCACCCTTTTCTAAAACTAGGAAGTGTAGGTTCTCCCAAAGTTGTTTCCTACTTCTTAATTCAAACCTCTTACTTAAACTTGGAAGTGCATGTCCTCCCAAAATTATGTTCTACTTTTTAGTTCAAACCTTTGAAAATTGGTATCTACTAGATTTTGCCCATTGTTTTTGACTTCTAAAGTCCAGTTATCACCTAGGTGAGGTAATCTCTCTCACACTCACAATCCCTACTTAGGAAATCTCTCTCTCTCTCTCTTCTCTCTCTCTCTCTCTCTCTCTCACTCAGTTTGTGGGTGGGAAATGCCTCCCTTATTCATTGTCACTATAAAATTTTGTGCATAAATAATACCAATATTGTTATTATATAATAATTTCTAATAACTAATTAGGAAAAAGTTTATATAGAGTCGAGGCTCTAAACAATCAAATGAGAACCCACCTCAAAAATTTTACTAGAAGAGGTTGTTTTGATGCCCAAATATCTTCAAATTGATCATCTCGACATCAAGATGCATAGACATGAGAAAAAAATGGATTTCAAGATTTCGAAATAGTACATCTTGTAACGTATTTTTGAACTGTTGATTTTCAAGATTTTCAAGATTTTCAAGTTCTCATAGATCTGCTCGGTCTACACTGTTTTTTCAGCTTTAAATTTTATAATTAAAGATGAAAATATATTTTAAGCTATCACAAAGATTTCCAGTATTGAAACCACATAACTTGACAATATTTGAAGGTGCACTTTACTTTGATTGTTTAGAGCCTCGGCTCTATACAAACCGCACCCTTATAATTAATTGTTTACATTCTATTAGTTCTTTATATTTCTTAATTAATATGAGATATTACTTATTTTTGTAGAAATAAAAATACTTAGAATATCAACTATTATTTTTATAGAGCTATTAATATTAGATTAATTATATATAATATAATCATAATTGATATTAGGACGTTATGATTACTCATATATGCTTATATAATTATATTTTAAGAAATTTAAGATTATAATAATGTAATTATATTTTAATAAGTATAAGATTATAATTATTTGTTTCATGTATATTTCCTTATTTTCTAAGGAATTATTTAGTATTACAAGCCATGGTAACATCATAACATATATGAATAATAGTATATTTTTTTCTTTTTACAATTACAAATTCGATATATAAAAAATAATTATTATACTTTTATCATAATAAATTAATATATAATTATTAATTTATCATTAAATAATTGATTGGGGTTTTTTTTATTGCAATTATGATAGGTTTTAAGATTATAAAAGATAAGTGAAATATTGATAATATGCATTATAATATTATATTTGCAATTAAATAAATTTGTATATAATTAGTAGTAGTAATAGTAGTAGTAGTAGCAAGAGCAGCAGTGGAGTAACAGCAATAGTAGTAGTAATAGTAGTAGTAATAGGAGCAGCAGCAACAACAACACCAGTAGGAGCAAGAGCAGAGCAGTAGTAGGCATGATGTTTAAATAACACTAGTATTATTAAAATTTAAGGCCTTCGAAATGCTCTTAATTGAGGTTTTTACGTAAGAGAGTAAATCGATAACATATACCCCTGAAAGTGCACAAAATCTTTGGATATAGAGTAAGAGGCGTGAGACTGAGCTCTTACTATCCATGGCATGGTCCCCAACTCCCTCCCTATGATAGTAGCATGATACATGTACATTTGTGGACATGGTTTTGGTGAATCAGCCGAGTCACTTATTACTGTGCGGTCCCTTGTTTATCTAACGTCCAATGGATATCAAAAAATGTTATACCTACTAAAAGCTCAAATGGATGGTGACGAAAGGAATTTAAAAATAGCTTATAATTTTTTTTAAAAAATTCAAATTTAGATAATTGTTATGGTTGAGATTACTAAACTCTAAAAGTTTAGATTGAAAATACATTTTTAAAATATATTTTGTAAGGAGACCGCACAAGAATAGTGTGAGTCAGCTGACTCACCAAACACTTTTGCACTTGGGATTAAGACACTAATGAGAGGTCAGCGTTTTTAGCTAGTAAAAGAGCACGCAAAAAAAAGGTTATTTATTGCATGGGACCCCTTTGGAAGTTTCATCAAGTCGGGCTCCTTCAAGTCAAGCATTCTTCAAATGAATAAAGTACTACTTCTTTCTCATTATTAACCATAAATTATCTTTTCATGAATGGATGAAGTAACCACATTGTCAACCTTATCACAAAAAATAAAAATAAAAATAAAAAATCAAAAGAGGAAGGAGTACCATCTTTATTTATTTCCCATAATGACAAAAATGGTATATATAATTAACGCTGAGAAAGCTTAATACGTTTGTATTGACTTTTATGGCCTTTTGAGATGAGGTTTGATTTGATATTTTGACCAAAATTTTAAGGGTGAGGCTAATATAAGGTGCCTTCAAGTAAGGCGCACTTTGTACTTGAAATCCTTTTTTTCTTTGTATATATATATTTTAACGTTGAGATGATCAGATTGAAGGATTTTTCAATATCGAAACACCATCTTCAAGAGGAATTTTGGGATGTTCTTTACTTCAATAGTATAAAGTTACCATTAAAAAAAAAATAGTATAAAGCCTATAAGTATATGCAATTTTGCAAAAATCATATTTGAGATTTGAGAAAAGACGAATGTATAATATTGGTGGTGCGTGACGGATACTTTTCACAAGAGAAGAGGGGAAGATAAAAAACTATTAGTAGTGATATAAAAACTAGCTATCTAATTTCTATTTTTTTTTTTTTTTCATGGGATTGTCTATAAAGAGATCATTTATCTTTTGTACACTGGGGTCACATTCATTCTCACTCATTAGATGTCAAATTGAATGGCTTGAGATGAGTCATGAAATCCGAGAAATTTTGTTTTTGGAACTTTGTGTCTATTTAATGACACTCATACAACTACCCATTTTGAAATTTAAAGGACAATAATACTTGTGACCTCCATGTACAAAAGATAAATAGTCTCTTTGTAAACAATTCTTTTTTTTATTAGTTGATTCTCTTGGCCAGATCACCGATATAGACCAATCTTCCAAATGGTCAGTTCACCAGATAGATCCGGTTTTTAAACACTAGGTATAAGTAACTTTTTATCCAGAAACAGTGCGTATAAGTAACATGTTGTCCAAAGCGTGTTGAAAATCACTAATCGGGGGACAGACTCGACCCATGCCCGGGCTAAGTAACTTGGGCCAAGTTCAAGTTACTCTGCCTGAGTCAAGAGCAGGGTACTTTAGAAATAATCTAAAAATAAGGGAAAATGTAAAAATAAATATTCATGGCCAAAACACTTTCCAATCTTTACCAAAATGATAGAAAATATAAAAATAAAAAATAAAAAAATACAAATAAGTTTCTTATTTTTATCTTTTTTATTATTTTTTAAGATTTTCGAGATGACCACTTAACTTGGGAGTGCTCGAGCTCGTCAGAGTGATATGTCCCAATTACTCGGGCAAGTTCAAGCTAGCTCGCCCAAGTTATCAAATACTGGTCCAAAGTCCAAATCCTTATGTGCCTCCTTGGGAGCATAAATATCCTCCTGAAACATTCTTATGGTTGTGATTAAACTTCACTTGTAGGGTCCTCCTGATTCC